TAGTTAAGACGTACCAGTAAGAATACAATCAGGTTTTTATGACGAACATAGCACTTCCCGCCGAAATTATTCGCGATTTTATGATAACTTAGAAACTTAAAAAATCTGAAAAGGTATCAAAAATATCAAAAAATAGGAAAAGGTATCAAAAAACATAGGATTGTTCAGAAGATCGAAATGCTCCAATGGCTTGAAATGATGGTTAAAATTGGAACAGCCTCTAATTTTAAACATTCAATGCGCATGTGAACTGTTGTAATTTTTGTTTCACATCAGAAGAACGCTGTATTTGGAATGACAAACAAAAGCAGTGCTCAAAATGACAGTGAGTGAATATCACTTCACTTACTATTAATTAAAAATCCAACTGAACTTCCAGATTAAAATCCAACTGAACTTCCTCCACTATCCTTCCCATTGAAAGCTTCCTTAACAATCATCTAATTCGAATGTTTTTAGCATTCTTTTTGAGTCAGATATCTAATGGATATGGATGCAGATATTTGGAAAAAGGAATCATCTAATGGATATGTACGCAAAAATGATTTATTAATAATATTCACGCTAGAAATATGGAAAAATTGATAGGGTACATTTCAAATCAAACTTAACATCGCGATGGTATATACCTTGTAGAACAGAATATGTTTCTCGTATACATAATGGGACATGTAATTAAGAGACGCGTAAGAAGAGGTTATCAGCTTACAATCCGAAAATAAATTTCCAATCGTTTCAAAACATTAAGTGGCAGTGTTACTATATAAATTCTCCGTCATTGTGAAATAGGAAAAAAGAGATGTTAAAAACAAAATTGATGAAATGAATAAAACGAATATGCATATAATCAAAATTGGGATATGAACAAAATGCAAATTCGTATGGAAACATTACCTCTATAAATAGAGAAGAGTCATCAAACGNATTAAGCTGAGAGCCGGTGAGCGCGTTGATCGTTGGTTGGTTGAAGATAAGCTCGGAGAGGGTGGTTTTGGATCTGTTTATAAAGTTCGTTACTTGATGATTTGGTTAATTGATAGCTTTATGTTTGTTGAAATGTTCGTATCGCTGAAGATATCATGAAACGAAAACAGCCGCCGAATCAGTGGATTCGAAGAAATTGAAGGAAAATGTTTTTCCTCAATATAGAAAGTGCTCTTGTGCAATTAGATGTATACTCAATTGTGTACTCAAATTATTCAATTGAAAACCTCGGAAGTGACTCACATTTCTATTCGTATCCAATTAAACTAACTGCAGTTGAATTCAGGTGTCTCATAACAATGAAATATTTGCGTTAAAAACAGAGAATATGAACGAAACAGTAAAGGTTGTTTACATCGACATTTTTTGTGCTATATTCATCAAATACTCATAAGACACCTATACGTGCATATACAGTTTAGATTCCAACATTTTAGATTTTGGATTCTTATATTCGCATATCTTCTGTATGTTCAATTCAGTTTGGTTCATGTGTAGTCTGTACATTTTCATTTCTAACCGTATTAACTTATGAATGTGCAAAAACTGAAGTGAGCTGGATTGATAGGTGTTAAAAATGGAAGTATACGTGCTGAAAATGGCCGAAAAGAATAAAAGTAAACATTTTTGCAAATGCGAAGATTCGGGAATGTTCAAAACAATGCTTTATATCGTTATGACTATGGTTGGACCGTGTCTTCAGGTTTATTTATTCATTTGCTTGCATACTCGTTTCACAGTTCGTTATCAATACAGTGGAAGTGTCGCTAATTATTGAGTGGATATGATGAAGATTCAGCAGTTCGGTAATATGCATCTATTAAAGGATCTTCGCAAAGAATTACCCGGACAAAAGTTGACAATCGGTTGTGCGCTGTCAGTTGGTACTCAGTGCTTAGAAGCTATCGAAGAATTACATGCGATTGGATTTTTACATAGGTTTGTTGAGTTCTGTTTTGATTGCATTTCATTAGGATACGATAGATGATTATTGATGAGAGGCACTTGTATTGAAGAGATATTAAACCAAGCAATTATGCGATTGGTCGTGAGGAGCTGCACGAATTGCGACGAATATATATCTTAGATTTTGGAATGTGTCGTAAATATCTCGATGAAAACAATAAACTTCGACCTCCACGAAAGGTGAGTTCATCATTCGTTCCGTTTCGGTGAAACGAGCGATGCAAGGCTACATTGACGTGATATAACTCGGCACTTCTTGAACTGTGGGTCTTATTTCTGATGGTGCAAACAAGAGAAAGTCGAAGGAGGCAATGCCGTCTTGTGAGCGAGATATGATATAAGATATGGAACAGTGGTTCTCGTAGGGAGTTAAATTAC